TTTGAAGGCCATATATTTGTAATTCCACCATATTCTAAAATACCCAAGATTTTTTCTCTGAACAAGCTCATCCCCACTCCAGACATCGAAGACTTATCAGTGTTCCTTCACCATTCATCCTCTCTTCATCTCTATTTCATAATTATCATAATTATGACAGTGCCTACTGTGTTACAAAATAACACTTGCCCCGTCAACTCCCATTTGTTACAAATCCTTGTTTTCCCGCTTGAGGGCATCAAGTTTGATCCACCACTGTCACAGCTTTCACAACCACCACTTCCCAAACTTATTGTCGTACTTTCTCAGACTCTAGAATGCTCATCATGAAGGAAAGTGCAATTCTCACCATACGGATATCCTTGCTCTGTATATAATTCTTGGCAATGCCTCCATTTACAAGACCTCTGTGCATCCTCACCACTTGCTATAATCGGAATTTGAAACTCCTCCATCGGCTTTGATGACACTCCTTGTTCTTCGTCATGGGTAGCGACCAATTCTTGATTGTGGGAAGCAAAATGGAGAACCATGGTGGGAGTTTCGGGATTTCTGGTTTTGGTGGGGTTCTGGGGTTTGAACGTAATTAATACGGCAGTTAAGATTTTAATTAGTTTTAGAGGGTATTATCTAATTTTTTATTTTTTGAGGGTACCCAACCTAATTTCTCCAAAATTTTTAGGGTAAATTGGGCCCGGTACCCTCAATTTTTTATTAATTTGATTAATACTTAATTGAATAATTAAACCATTTAAGAACGTAAATTATACGTTCTAAAACCACCAAAACCCCCCAAAACACAAACAGTTGTCCCGATTCCACCCCCAAAGAGAAACCCACCTCACCCACAGCTCGCGTTTCCTTACCGTCGTCTTCACCGATTTTGCTTCAAGAAATCCTCATCTACAACTCCTAAATTCTTGCTGCTTCAATCACCTTACCCGGTGCCTTTGTTCCATAATTCAATTAAGGGGTTTGTCAAGATTGGACTTTGCAATTAATGTTGGGTATATCGTTATTGAGGGGTTTGCAATGATGACTTCATCACTATTACGGGCTTTACAATGATGGCATTTGTTTCATAATTCCTTCAAGGTGATTTGCCAAGAAATCCCCTTTTTGCTTTTTTCATCAGACATGCTAAAAAAGCAGATAACTCTATAAAGGCAGGAGGTGAAGATGCACAGGTGTGGGTTATGTGATTTTCATATGTTTGGCAACTTTTTTTTATGATATTCTTGAATTTTATGTTATTTCCTTAGAAATTAAGTTATTTCCATTATAGTTATTGCAGTAATCAGGAATAACTACAATTTATTTGGAATCACAGCAGCCAATTTGTTATTCACTCTTGGAAGTTACCTCATGAATTCTAGGCCACTCTTTCCTCGTTTGAAGTCTTGTCCAGAATTTTGTTATTTATTCTTGTTATTATGTGTTTGTCATTGTTGTGGTAGTAGTTATTTCACTTGGACGTTGACTGGGAGCAGTTTACTTAGATACTTAGTTCACATTCATAATATAGTTATTGGAAATAATGTTTAATTTGTTGTCATTGAGACATTTGCATGCATTTCCAATGTCCAAGTATAAATATATAAAGCAGTGCAACTTCACTATGATTTTTGACCAAGAAGATTGAAGATGAGAGTGACGGGAAAAGAAATTAATTAGATTGCATATTCTTTATTCATTTTCACTAATTGTCAATAAAAGCGAGTCATCTAAAAATTAATGTAAATGGTAAATGGATAAGTAAAGAACTAGAATATGGTTTTTTTTAAACATTTTACTTGATAAGAATAATAGTTTTGAGAAAGTACAAAAATTCCTATATATATTTTGTAATCAGCATATTGTATCATCTTCTATTAGTTAATTCTATACGCAATTGTCACTTTTTTCAAATTTCTGACACTTCCAACTTATTGGCGGTTTACTTTTTAATTAAAAAGTGGCACTTAACTTTAAAAACTAACGTTTAGTAAAAAAGTGTCGCTTTCTCAGGTGGATTAATACTTAACTTGACCATTTTCTCAAGTAGGTAGATTGTATCTTTTTGAGTGTTGTCACTTTTTTTAGTGTTTCTTTTTTTAAATTTTTGTCACTTTTTTTAGTGTTTGTCACTTTTTAAATGTTTTTCGCTTTTTTTAGTGTTTGTCACTTCTTTTAAGTGTTTTGTTACCTTTTTGAGTGTTTGTCACTTTTTTGAGTACGTCTCGGAGTGCTTCGCCTTTGCCCACTCCTTTGAACATATAGACATAGAAAAAATGATGAAAAATATAAATTAAGTGCTCAGTTATGAAAGGGAAAGTGATAAAGATAACTTTTAGAAATTACCACATTATTTCCCGTACAAAATACCTTCGTCTTTTGGTTTTCATATTTCAGTACCAAATGGAGGAAGTTCGGTATAAAACTTTTAGATAAATGCTTCTATGATGATATAGGCGTCCTTGATTAGTATGATTCAGTTTCTGTCTTATTACTTCGGTTTGCGTACTTTTTTTTTCTTTCTTGAAAAGCAATCAGTAAGGCCGTGTTAAGATTCGTTCTCCTGGAAAACAACTGAGGACTAAGAAGATTGCATCAATATGTGAGAAGTTCATGAAAATATGGAACCTTCTCGGTTCTTGCAGTAGGAACGAAGAGATGATAGGCCATATGCTTTTCTAGATGCATTTTAATTTGCTTATATGGAGCAGCATTAGTTGTTTTAAAGGAAATTCCATCACGTGCAACAGCAATTGAAAATCCGGAGTAATTAGATTGAGATAAGTCAAAGAAGGCTCTACTTATGAGTTTTATTTTAATAATGTCATTATATACAATATAACATTTCATTTAAACTTGAGCAGCTTCTTTTGCTTTCCTTTTGGCTTTTGGTATTCTGCCAAGCCTCCAATCGTACAAATAATAACTCAATTGTGTTACACCAACATGAAAATTGTCAACTTGTTACTTTTTTGAATTTGTGTCCCTTTCTTTTTTAGTGTGTCACTTTTTATTAAATTTTTATCACTTTTTTAATGTTTGTTACTTTTGTTGTCAATTCTTTGAAATTTCTATCGGTTTTTGAGTGGCAAACATCATTTGTTTTTTAGTCATCTTCTTGAAATTTCAATCACTTTTTTAGTGACAAACATCACTTTTAGTAAGTGTGAGATTGTAAAAAATGACACTAAACTTTTAAAAGTGACATTGTGTCACTTTTTTAAAAAAAAATGACAATTTTATCACTTTTTTCTGAATTTATTTTTTCTTTTTATTGTTTGTTACTTTTTAAATTTTTTTTTATCACTTTTTTGAATAACAAACATAGGTTTTGATTGGTGTTTTGTCATTTTTTTTAAGTATTTGTCACTTTTTTGAATTTGTATCACTTTTAGAGTGTGTCACTTTTTTTGAATTTTGTCACTTAGTGTCACTTTTTTACTTTTTAAAAAAGTGACAATTTTTATAAAAAAGTGACATTGTCACTTTTTCATTTTACACAGTATTTTTTACTTCTTAAAAATCTTTCACATGATTTTTCAAAACACCCCTAATTTTAAGGGTATTTTTGTAAGTACCCCATAATCAATTATAAAGAGGAAAATTGCAACTGCTGTCCTCATGTTTGCACCATTTTGGTTTTTTTTTCTCCAACTTCCATTTTTTTGTAGCGCTATTCTCGGCCGGTAATTTATTACATAGCGTTTCCACTAGCGGATTCAACTTTTTATTATTTTTTTAAGAAAAATAAGTAATGAAGTCATTTTCCTCAAACCCTCTTGGATGCTCCGCCCGAGTATCATATACCTCCGATCCACAACTCCAAATGAATCGTATCCAACACTAGCTTCATTTTCGACCACCAGTCTTAACAAATCCATATTTATGCACAATATTGGTGCTTGCAGGTTTCATTTATGACTAATTTACTAAAGGAGATTTTTTTTTTGTATGGACGACGTAATTTTTTATTTGAGCGTACATACTTATAACATATTTTCTTTCTTTGTTCTTTTTTATTTTTAACCCATTTAAAATTTGTGTAGTATTTTTTATTTTTGAATGGAATCCATCTTTACAATTAGAGCTAGATGATTATCGATGGCCATATTTTTCAGTGTCTAAAAATAAATTCAAAGTTAAGCTTCACATGGTCTAAGAATCATGGCGGGGGCGGGAAATATATTTTCATGTCTGTTTTAATTATATATCTTAAAATTTAAATTATATTTAAAAAATAAGTAAACTGATGGTAAACACGAATATTCTTGCTCGGTTGCGATTCCTATACAAATGTAAAAAGGTGTAAATTTTGCCTTTGTCTCGGTGCCATTGTTAGGAGTAGAATTTATTTTCTTATCAAATCACGTGGGCCACCATTTTTGTAAGGGAGTTAATTTTCAATGTTGTCTTCGTATATTTCATTTATCCCCTCATTTTTGACAAGTACCGTAAGCATATTTTTTTCTTTTTGGAAAAAGGGGTAGAATAGGGAAAAGTGAAATGAAAAGAATTTTTTTGTCAGATGAACTGAATAAAGAAGTGACTTCTTGAAAGAACAACGGTCTAATTTCGACCAAAAAAAAAAGGGAAAACAAACAAGCGCTTTCCGTATAAGTACCGATGTTGCCAACAGTGCAATTTTTGGCCCTTGTCCAATGACAAAAGAGCCGTGCTTCACTGCCGGGGGGGTTTGACACCCCCCTTACATAATACACACATTTGGGGGGGGGAGGGCCTTTTTTTTCATTTTTATTTCATCCGGGCCCCACGTCGGTCCCACCAGCTTGTGAGGGTCGGTCGCCCAGGTGGGTGAACCTCTTCTGGCACAATAGGATTTTCCATGACAAAATGCTACTACAAGTACAAAATCCCTTTACATATAGCAAAGTTGAAAAGGTATAAAGGTTGGGATGAAGGCTGCAATTTTCTCCTATATATGTATATACAACTTTCGCGGCATTCTTTTACCAATTGCGAACTCCCTCTCGTAAACTACACTCCTGATGAACGGTGGACTTAAATCCGCCACTGATCATATATACCGAACAGTACGCACAACCTTTCAAAATCATCCCAAAATCTAATTTCGGCCAAAACTTAGAAAACCCATTTCAGGTTCGCGTCATTGCTCAAGTACGCCAGCTCTATCGAGTCAGTCTTCACGCGACTGCGAATTGTTATACTGTAGTTATTCATCTCGTTGCTAGATTTTTTGAATCTAAAGCTGATTGTTTGAGAGGTTGAAAGCTTTTAGACAGTTGATTTTCTATCTTTTTTGCTAATTTTTTTTTTTTGTCAAAGATAATTGTAACCCTGTTCTCTCTGTGAATTTACTCGTAAATGGACTTTGGGAATTTATGGGTGTAATTTAGTTCTCACAAACTCAATTACTTTTTGTAGGAATGGTTTGAAGAAACTTTGAAGACAGTAAAAGCGATAGATGAACCGGGTGTTAAAGTAGCTCGATTCAGAATTTTACAACTTATAAACGGCTTTTTTTTTTTTAATTTCATTTTTTGATATTGTTGTTGTAGTAGTTGTGGACTACTTGTATTATTACTATAAAATGAGTAGGTCATGTGTTGGTAAGGAGGATGGAGGATCTCATGGAAATGTTGTTCTGGGTTGTCATGATGCTGAAATTGCGCAACTCACGAAGATCACGTCAAGCCCGCATGAGCAGCTGAGCAAGCTAGTTCCCGGTAAGGCGAGATTGCCTGTTTCACGGTGAAAATGTTGGCCGGCAGGGAATGTAATTATAGTGGAAGAGGGAGATTCTCGTTGGCAGATTCTTGTCACATATTGAGTCGGTACTTGCCCATTAATGGTCCTTCATATATTGATAAAATGAATAGCTGTGCATGCGTTTCACAGTTTTCTGCAGATGGTTCTCTATTTGTGGCAGGATTTCAGGTACTGGCTGCTACAAAACACACAATGTATTCATGGTCTATGATGGTCTTAATAATGACTCAATTTTATGGAAGCTTGTCTATTGGGTTGACAGGCTGTTATTCTGTTTTGAACAGGAAAGTCATATAGAATATATAATGTTGATCATGGATGGAAAGTTCAGAAGGACATTCGGGCAAGAAGCTTGCGATGGACGATTACTGATACATCCCTTTCACCAGATTGCCGTTTACTTGTAAGATTGTGGGAATTGTAAATTAGATTGTGCGTAGGTCTATAAGAATGTTATTGCAGGTCATATATGGCAGTTATTGATGCATTCAGTTCTTTGGTGGAAAGGGGCAGGGATCGTAACAGAACATAAGCTGAGCTAGGAGCTGAAATAGCTGGGAAGCTGAGCTGAAGGAAGACGGCAATGGGGCTAACTACCAGTTAGTTAGTTAGTTTTGTTCATCATATACACGGGTACCTTTTATATTGGCTTGTAAAGTTAGATAGTTAGAAGTAGTTAGTTTGTTAGCTGATTGTACTTTGTATTTATGCCCAAACTTCTGTAAATTTTCATTGATGAGATTGCAATACAATTGAGTTCAATTTCCATCTTCATCTCTTCCGTTTTTCCTCTTCTTTTCATCTATTCTTTAATATGGTCTCTTGTGCTTATGTCACAACCTCTCACTAGTGACAACTATGCTTCATGGAGTAGAGCCATGGTTATAGCTCTATCCGTGAAGAACAAACTCAGTTTTGTGGATGGAACATTACCCAAACCTGAAGCGGATGATGATCAGCTCAACAATTGGATTCGCAGCAATAATATGGTCATCTCATGGATTCTCAATTCCGTGTCTAAGAAGATCTCTGCTAGTCTCATTTATTCTGATTCCGCACATGACATATGGATCGACTTGAAGGAGAAATTCCAACAGAGAAATGGACCTCGAATTTTTCAACTTAGGCGTGAGCTGATGAACCTCACACAGGGACAGTCATCTGTTGGTGTTTATTTCACCAAGTTGAAGACAATATGGGAGGAACTCAGTAATTACAGACCAGTTTGTTTATGTGGAAAGTGTGATTGTGGTGGTAATAAGAGAATTTCAAATCACTATTTGATGGAATATGTGATGTCTTTTTAATGATACATTTGCACAATAGGACAAACGTTACTTATGGATCCAATACCTCCTATCAACAAAGTTTTCTCTCTTGTTTCTCAAGAGGAACACCAAAGGAACATCAGTACTTCTACTGTTGGAGATTCAGTGGCTTTCTATGCTAATACCGATCATAAGAAAATCAATTCAGGACAGACATATAACAAGTTCCAAAGGAGGGAAAAGACCTATATGTACTTACTGTAAACAGGCAGGCCATTTAGTGGATAAATGCTATAGGTTACATGGATTTCCTCTTGGCTATAAAATGAAGCACAAGTCTGGTTTCAATGATCAATTAGGAGCTGCCAGCAATCAATTCAAGGCGTGTGGTTGCAAATCAGGTTGCCTCTGAATCTGAGCAAGCACAAAATAACACAGGAGATTTCATGCAATTCTTGAGTGCTGCTCAATATCAACAACTGATGAATGTGTGAATTCGGCAAAGGTTTGCACATAAACTGACGACCACTCTAACCAAGTCTCAGGTACTTGTTTTTCTATTGCTCTTAATTAATGGATAAATTCACCTAGGCATTGGGTGGTGGACTCTAGAGCAACCAGTCACATATGATCCAACCAATCTACATTCTGCACTATGAAGCTTGTTAAGAATACTTATGTTACTTTGCCAAATCATAAGAAAATCCTGGTTAACTTCATAGGAACTGTGAAGTGTGGCCATAATTTGATACTTACAAATGTATTATATGTGCCAGAATTTGATGTCAGTTAGTTTATTGACCAAGGATTCTTTTACTGAAGTCAAATTCTTCACTAACACTTGTGTTATTCAGGATATACGCAACCGGAAGATGATTGGCAAGGGTGAAAAGGCTACTGGTTTATACATATTGAGTGATATATCAATTAATTCAGGACAAAATAATGGAAGCAACCTTTTGATTGATGATGTTTGTGTCTCTGTTTGCTCAGCTGTAAATAAAGTTAGTGCTCATACTTGTCATCACAGATTAGGTCATCTGCTATTTCGAAAGTTAGATGTTCTAAGGGATCAATTACATTTGAGTTGTAACAAGTATGGAAACTATAATTCAGTTCCATGTAAGATCCGTCCTTTGGCAAAACAGAGAAGGGTTCATTTTGTTTCAAACAATCATTTTTCCACCAATGCATTTGATTTGATCAATTGTGAGACAGGAGAACCTTATCGTGTTTCTTCTCACTCAAGGTACAGATTTTTTCTAACTTTGGTTGACGATTGTACGCGTTTCACATGGGTTTATCTCATGAAACACAAATCAGAGGCAAGCTGTATCATTCCAAGATTTTTTAAGATGGTTGAAACTCAATTTCAGAAAGTTATAAAGAAATTTAGATCAAATAATGCAACAGAATTGAGGCTTACTAATTTCTTTCATTCTAAAGGAGTTTGTAGAAAACCCGTTTATTATGTGATATAATTGTTATTGATTGCTCACCTTATTTAGATTAGGAAACTTTTCCTTCTCTTAGATTAGGATTTATTATAAATTGGATTTCATTGTATTGTAAGAAATATATGTTTTTCATGAAATAAACTTGGGAGGGACAGGGAGCTTCATGGGAGTATTGTGTTCTGTTGTTTTAGTTCATTAAACTTCCCATGGTATCAGAGCCGTAGTAATTCTAAACTCGACCATCGATGACAGGAACAGAAACAATCGGCAAAAAGCCCTCAATTGAAAAAACTTACCTTCTGGCCAGAATCAATTCACAAAACGAGCAACCTGAAAATATAAAAACTGTCAGATTCCCAACTTCCGGCCACTTTTCCGATCGCGGTATACCACCAGATGGATTCTCACAACCAGACGACTCAAATTGTGGCCTCAATTTGTCCCAAACTACAATACAGCAATCTGAATTTATGAAAGAAGAACTCCCAGTCGCAAAGAACATCCAGCACAGTCCGAAATTTGCAGATTCCGCCACCGTCTGGTCGACCCATGGTCACAAACCACATGAGCTGAGCTCTTCTCCTTCTGGCGCACCTTACCCATCCTTGGGTCACGCCCAATTTCAACAGGAGAGCAACGAAGAACGACGACAGAGGAACTACGAAGAGAACAATCGAGGAACTGGGCCGTCTGTTGATGAACTAATGATCTATTTTAATAATATTGGGCCTGGGCCTGCTAATAAAAGCGAGCCTAATAAATCAAGGCCACCTGGAGTTGAAGTCTTGAGCTGTTTAGCAAGTGACATTAGGCCTAATAAATCAACTGGGCTTGGCCTGGATGAAATAGCCGTTAATTCCCTTAGACCAATAAATGGATCCAAATTAATTGGGCCCAATGGGTCTGCCCACATATTCAATCCTAGCCCATCAAGTTTTTTGGCCCACAAATGTAGCTTTCTAAAGGCCCTAAACACTATCGCACAATCCAAAGTTCTCTGGATTATTGACTCTGGTGCGTCCGATCACATGACGGACGCCTACAACCTCTTTACCACATATTCACCATGTGCCGGCAACCTCAAAGTCAAAATTGGCGATGGTTCACTCTCACCTGTTGCAGGAAAAGGAAGTATTCGAATTTCCAATTTAATAACACTTGAATCCGTTC